CGAAGGGGAACCATTAAGAGATTTTCTAATTAGCAAGCCATGAATAAAAATAATTCATAACATGTAGCCCAGAAGGCATTTTTTTCTTTTCAGTTTGACATCTGCCTTTGCTGTTAATTATTTATTGTTATCCCCTAGCCATATGGGATGGTAAATTTTGTAAAGTGATATGTAATTAAGTTTTTCCACTCTGAACCATGAAACAAAATACAGTTTTGGTAATTGCCTTTTTCATTCAATTGATGTAGACAGAACCAGTGAACTAGACACCAATATTGATACTTCTGGGACTGAACTGTCCAGTTTTGCTGTTTAAATACCTCAGATTTACTGGCAAATGAGCAATTCTGCCTTCACTTTTTGATTTTCAAATGAGCCTTCTTAGCTTGTGTTTTAGCTCTCTATTATTGAGATTTGGCTAAGAAAGGGAAAATAAGCTAGTGGGGTTCATAGAGATTGTTGACAAAAGGAAACATTATAATGAGGCTCTAATTTTTATTCTTGGTTGCATAATCACCATAGTGAACCAATAGAATATATGCTTTTAGAGGACAGTGAGTCTTTAATTTTTTTCTCTATATCCAAAGCACCTAGTATACTATGCCTGCCACTAGTAGGCATTTAATAAATGCTTATTTATTGATCGATAATTTGCCCCCACTATTACCAGCATGCTTTGTTTTTTATTTAATGTTATGTCTCCTTGATAGGACTTCCCAGGATTTCACAACAGGTTCTACTGACATTGAGGGGGATGTTATTACCATGGCTTCTGAATAAGGGAGGAAAGGTGCTATTTACTTCCATATTCTTAAAAAAATCATACCAAGATGATACTTAGAACCACTCAATCACCACTGGCCCTGTGGCTTTATGACATAGACACATTTTTCTATGAGGAGCAAAATGTAAGGTGTGGTTGGCATCTATCATCACTTAGAGAGCTATGGCCATGGAAATATACCCATTATCCATATCCAGTCCTATTTCTTCCTCACTCCAAGACAAATTCCCTTGTGAACTGTACAGACCGAAGTATACGCCATTAGAGTTGGAATCATGCCACTGATGATATAGAAAACGCAGTACATCTTCTAGTTCTATCTGGAAATATACATTTTCCACGCCAATATAGCTCCGTTATGCTGTTACCTGAGCCACACTATTCAAGAGGCAAACCAAAATGAACACAGTTGGAAGTTCAAACCTAAAATTCTGGTGACACTAAAAGCTTCTAAGAATAGATGAAGGATTTTCACCATAATTCTAGACTCAGATATTCTTGCTATTCTAGTTTTGCTCCCAATCAAGTCCTAAAGGTTTTTGTAGCAAATATCTTGTACAGAAAGGAATCTGTTTGATATGAACCAACTAGTGACATAGATGGAGTAGGCACAATGATCTAAGAACTGTTAAAAAAGCTTTCATGGTATCACCATCCTACTGGACTTTCATGCCATCTCAGTCTTCTACTAGGCAGTTTCAGACTTTGACTGATGGACCCCCTTTCTGGAGGAAGTGGTGGTATTAAGATGTCCCCCAATGGATTTCCCCTTATGACATGTCACTGCTACCACTTCCACACTTGAGTTGGATTTCTTGCCATATAGAACCATCAGTGGCAGAAATCAGCAGAAAAGCATAATTCTCTAGTTAGGAAAAAAGCAACAACTAAGGGGCAAAGAAAATAAAAGAGCAGAATGGGAAAATGATAGTTTGAAACTATAAAGGAGGAGGAAGATCAATGCATTTGAGAGACTCATTGTTCTACCATGAAAAAGGAAATAAGGCACAGCACTTGTAACATAATTCAAGAGTAAATGTGAGATATGAGCAAGGGAGGATTTATATAGTAACTAGACCACTCCTGGGGAGGATGTGTCTCTCACAAAGTTATTTTGGCACCTCTAGGCTGACAAAAGCTACCATAAAATAAACCGTTTTTGTCCCAAACCCACCCTACTCCCTCGTATCAACTGAGGAATTGTTTTTAACAATTTGCTCTACATACTGCTAATGGTACTTATTGTAGGCAAAAAGTTTCCTACTTAGAGTTTTATCTAATTTTCCCCCCCAGCTGCAACTTCTCTGAAGCATTATTTTGACAATCCGTTAGCCAAAATGGGCAAAAGATATTCATGTTAAAAGTCTTTTGCTGCTTCCAAAACCATGTGTTTTTTGCTCTTGCTATTCCAAGGAAAGCCCCAACTCTCCCCTCCCCATTCTTTCCCCTTAGATTCTCCTTTCTCCCTTCCTGAGAACAATCCATGGGACTGAATTTTCCATGGGAGGAATGAATGAAAGGGGAGAAGAAAAGTTGTCTTAAGCACATTTGAAGGTTTTTGCCATGTCTTAACTTGGGTGCTTTCCTTGGACCTAAAAACTCTTCTGGCCCCCATTTTCTTCCTGTCCTTTACAAATTGCTATGCAATTTTGGCTACATTTTATTGCAATTATTTTATTTTTAAAAACCCTCTTATGTAACAAAAAAAGGAAAAAAATTAAAAAAAAAACCTGTTAAGTGGTACATCAGGGACAGTAGGCTTTCAATGCCAGGTATGACTTGAACTTTCTGGGTCATTCCCAATCCTGGAAATACTCAAAATTAAATTCATTTTAATTTACTTCTAAAAGTAGCTAAAAGTTCTATAGTACCTTAAGTGTCTATGTTAGGAGGTATAGAGATCAGAAAATGGTGATAGAATATTCCAACAAAAAACTCTATAGAAATCATTGTGCTCTAAATCATAATCACACCATCTATAAAATGTTTTTGTGCTCCATTCTTCTCATTCTCCCTGTATTATTTCAGAGTTGCATACAGGAATACCGTACTAATAGGGACCCAGAAAAAGTTATGGGGCATGTAAAATGCATGGGCATAGTTCTTACGCAAGTTTGAAATCTCTTATAATTATCAAGATATATGCACATTATATTACATAATTTATAGACACATGGCATCATCAGAAGACTACTAATGTTAAAAAGATGAATTTTTGTTTCAGGGATAGATAAGCTTGGGAATAACTGATAGTCCTGTGCAATTTTCCAAATGTAGTCCAGCCCCACTAATTTTTTCTCAATTCTGGGACCGGTTCAATGTCCATCCATAGGGTCCAGGATATATTTACTGCTGGATCATTCAATGAGTTGTTCTTCCAACTACATATTAAATTTTGGACTATAGATAATGTTACACATAATTTTAAATCACAGAATACCCCAGTGTCAAAAGAATCAGAATTCTTAGTTACCTAAGGGATAACAGAAAGGTGTATAGTGAACACATATAGACTGAAACATACATTACCAATGATGAATTGCAAGAGTAAGACATACTATCAAAGAAACAAATGAATAGAAAAGGAGATTGATTGGTCACATCTTGAGATCAAGGTATAACATTCATCCCTAAACATAATTGATATCCTCATCAAGAAGAACTGGAAAATGGGAGGGACTATGGTGAATGGTACTGGCTCTGGAGACAATTGGCCTGGGTCCAAATCCTAGTTTTTCATATTTGCTGCCTGCATGACCTTGGACAAGTCACTGAACTTGCTTGAACTTCTGTTCATTCATCTGTAAATGAGGGGAAGTGACTATGTAGCTTCTGAGTTCCCTCCCAATTCTAAGTCTATGATTCTTTGAAGGTCTTTAATATATCAGGTGTACTCCCTGTTGAAAATTTGTGGAAGGACATGAACGAGAATTCCCACTTGGCTACTCTCCTGGACTCTATGTTCCCTGGAAACTTATTCTGCAAGAAGAAATTAACTCTGAAACTCACACCTCCTCAGCACTCCCTGCCTCTGAAGCCCCTCCCTCCCTCTCTCTGGTTGGAGAAGAGGGAGGGTGGACATTGGAGAGCTCTTCCCCAGATCCTCTACCTTTTAAGGAAGGTGGCCAGGGCATTCACTTTATAATTTTGCACCCAGCTGCTCTACTGTAGTTCACAATCTTCAGAAACTCGTCTTCTGAAAGATGAAATCAGCTCTGGAATTTACACCTCCTTAGATCATTTTCCACACCTGTAGAACTTCATCATGGCCTGGGATGAATACTCCTACTTCTTTTTCAGAATTTTTTTTTAAAACTGTGTTGTCTTTTCTGATTAGATTGTGAGCTCCTCAAGTGCAGGGACTATCTATGTACCTCTATCACTTAGCATAATGCTTGGTACATGGTAGATGCTTAATGTTCATTGTCTCTGACTGAAAGGATGAGGGATAAAGGATGGATTGTGTTCTGCTCAACTGGAAAGAGTACCTACATAGATAAGGTCACAGATTTTATAGTGAAGTATATACACATGGTATTTCTGTTTGTGACTGAGAGATTGTTGTCAAAAACTTGTCCATAATAAAACAGTTTTCTCCTATGCCAACTGTCTCCCAAATGGAATTTACTGCATAATCCTCATTGTATTAATGTCACTGACTGACTGAGTTGTCAGGCAGAATCCCATCAGCCTGAATGGGTTTAATTGTTTGTTACATCCATGTTGGCTGCCCTGATGTTGATTGAGAGCACAGTCAGCCAGTGACAGGAGTCAGAAGGACATAGTGGACATTGGACATGTCCTTCCTTTCCTTCCTGTTGATTTACTACAAGCAGAAAGCCCCAGGCAGCAATGTAGCTAACCCACTGAGGATCAGAAAATAGCCAGACGTTCAGATATGCTGTAATCAGAGCCATAATTGTGAATTCTAGTCATTTTGTCAGTCCAGTCCTTGGTTTCTTCACCTGGCAAATGAAAGATAAGGTCCTTTCCAAATACATGGTTCATATTCCTTATAGATAATCATGTTTCACTTCGATTATATTCCCCCAGCAATCCCCTAATAAATTACCAGTCAGCTGGTTTCTTCATTGGTGCTACCCTGAAGTCTTAATCAACTTCTAACAACCTTCTAATTCTTCTTGTGCTTGTCTATTCTGTTCTCCCTATATCTAAATTTCCAGTGAGTGGTAATTAAAGCAACAAAGACTTTTACCTGGGGCACAGAATAGTTAGGAAGGGGATGAGAAGCAGCAGTAGTAGCACAGGGGAGTCTTCTCTTGGAAGTGAGTAGAAGGCAATTGTGTAAAGAACAGCTCAGCTAGGCGCAGAGGAAACAGCTTGCTCCCCTAGAGAATGGGAATTGTAGAAGGGTGCCATAGAGAGGCTATCCTGGGGGTGGGGCTAGGTGAGGTCACACAGGCTGGTGAGGAAGGGAAAAGCATGATGCATGTGGGTGGCAGATCCCAGATGATTTGAGGGAAGAATGTACCCTTGGAGAAGAAGCTTGCTCCTATGATGTTGGCACCCAATTGTCCTGTCCTGGTTACATCTCTGGCTAGAATATCCAGAATGTTTTAGATGTCTGAGATGAAGGCAATAGACTGGAGGCTGAGTCTAGTTTAGGTCTAGTCTAACTTAATTCAGAAGGTAATAGGGGAAATCCCTTCTCCCCTCCACACATAGGAACTTGATTGGTAGGAACTATCTGGAGCTGATAAAGACCAGTAAAATTAACTAATATAAATGATAAAACAAAATCTGTTTCCATATTGAGTGGTAATATGAAGAGTAATCTAGCCAATCCACATCATGAATTAATTAATCTACACCAATCCTTGCCTTCACTCATCTCCTCTTCTCCTCACCTCATATACCTTTGACTAACCCCCCCAATTCCTCCTTTAAGACAGTCTCTGATGTAGAAGTGACCCTCTTCCTCATCAAGACTACCCCTCTCTATGTATCCTTGATTCCCATCCCCTTCCACTGCTGCCTTCCCCCTTTTCCCCTTCCTCCTATTGTCCTTCCCCCATTCGCACCCACCATCCTCCCTCCTTGAATCTTCAACCTCTCCCTATCTAATGGTCCTTCCTTGCTACCTACAACCATGCCCAAAGTCTTACCTATCCTTACAAGAACGCTCACAAGACTCTACCATACCCACAAGCTCCCACCCCCTCCTGGGTATTGTCCTCTCTGGGCTTCATGATACTACTCTATTTTGATGCTCCTCTTTCTGACCACTCCTCTATTCCTTTGCTGGATAATGATTCATGTTCTGTCCTCCCTGGGCGGTACCTCAAGGTTCTATCTGGGGCCCTCTTCTTTTCTCTTCATACCCTCTCATTTGATGTCATCAGCCCCCATGGGTTTCACTATGATCTCTCTGCTGATGTTTGATAGAACTATATAGTAACCATCCCTAAATTTTCTCCCAGGTTCTAATCCCTCCTCTAGTGACTAATGTCTATTGGATGTTTCAAACTGGATGTCCCATAGACACCTCCAACTCAATATGCCCCAAACAGAACTCATCATAGTCTCCCCTCAACCTTCTTTATTCTTGTTGAGGGTACCATAATTCTTCCAATTACCCAGGTTTGTAAACTATGTCATCTAATCAGTTTACTCACATGTCGAATCAGTTACTGTTTCTAAATCTTACTGTTTCTACTTCCACAACATCTTTCTTAGGTGCATCCTTCTCTCCCTCGAATAGCTACCACCCTAATTCAGGTTCTTATCATCTCTTGACTGGACTATTGTAATACTCTCCTAATTGATCTCTCTGTCTCACATCTCTCTTCATTCTGATGCATCCTCTATATAGTTGCCAAAGTGATATTCCTCAAGTATGGGTCTGACTATATCACCCTCCTACTTAATCAACGCCAATAGTTCTCTGTTAAATCTAGGATCAAATATAGATTCTGCTGTCATTTCAAGCCTTTAAAATCTTGTCCCATCCTACTTGTTCAACCTTACTATGTACAACTCCTCCTTCCTCTCTGTCTGGACTTCTTGCTGTTCCTTCATCAGGAGTGTCAAACTTGGAGAGCAGGCCACAAACCACAAAGCTCCCAAGTGCCGGGAACCAGATTAAGATGTAATTGGGAAAAGTTTGACAAAACAAATAAAAATAAAATATGCCATAGATAGTGTTAATTTGTGGTAGGTCAAAACAAATAAAAATAAAATATACCACAAATAATGTTAATTTGTAGTTTTCTAAATCAACATGTGACTCACAGGGACTTATTTCTTTTTGAGTTTGTTGTCAGTGCACTTATGCGACACTCCATCTCCTGTCTAGTACCCTTTGCACAGGCTGTCTCCCATGTCCAGAATGGACTGTCTTCTTGCCTCAGGTACTGCTTCAAGCCTCATCTAAAGTTCCATCTTCTGCATATGGCCAATTTTTGTCTTCCCAGCTGCTAATGTCCTCCCCGTAAAAGTTATCTTGAGTCTGTTCTGCCTGTGTGCTGGATATACTTATATACGAATATGCTGGTTTTTTTTTTTTTTACAATTAGAAAGTCAGTTTCCTGTAGGCGGAAGATGATCTTCGTTTTTTGAATCTCTAGTGCCTGAGGCATGCATAGTAGGTGCTTAATAAGTGTTTGCTGATTGATTGATTGATTGATTGAAAGAATTGGGAATATGAAACCCAGAGGAGAGAAGGCTCACAGGGAATATAAAAGTGGTTTTCAGGTAATTGAAAAGTTACTGCACAGGAGGAAAAATTTCCCCACCAAATGGCACAATTAGAAGCAACAGGTATAAATAGCAAAGAAACAAATTTAGGATCGATGTCAAGAAAAACTTCCTAATAATTGAATAATTGATTTATAATTTAATTAAATAAATAAAAGTTAATCATAATTACAATCAATTAAATAATTGATTGAATGATTAATTAAAAATTTAAAATAATAGTGTAGGCTGCCTCAAAATAGTTAGTGGATTCTAGCTCATTAAGTAAAGGCCAAAGAAACACTCACCGAATGTGTTATAATAGGGAGTCTTTTCCTAGAATGGCTTTGATAATATGGCCATAGTGGTCTCTAGGGTTTAATTCTTAAATCCTCTGGTTCTATAATGCCAATTGAAAATATTAACCAGGCCACCAATACATCATTCTGAGAGGACAAAAATGTTATCCTCATTGACTAATTCCCTTGCCTTAAATTATTTTTTAGGCAGCTAATACATGTGCATATCATAATTTATCTAGAAACTGAGAATGAAAGGTTCACGAGATCAATCTAGCCCGGCCTCGTGAGAATGCCACAGTAGTTTAGTGATTTACATCAGATACAATATTTTGGTCTTAGCTTAATTGGGAAATTAGCATTATTGTGATTGCTCATAATTTGCATAGCCATATGTGTCCTCAAAGTGCTTTATAATACTTTGTACTCATTGCTGCTTGTGAGGAGGAGTTGGCTTTTTTGTGTTACGATTTGTACAGCTGAGAATTTTGAGGTAGACACAGAGAAGAAAGTTTGCTGAGAGCCACCTATTGACCTATCAGAAGCACCCAAATTAGAACCTGAAGCTCTGAAATGATTGCTTGACCCATAGGACCCCTGCTGCCTCTCTCTGGCGGTACTGAAGTGGCCAAGGGCTCTGAGGTATTGCCACTGAGTGATGGTCTCTACTCTGAAGGATGAGTTTGAGCTATTAACAGAACAGCGAGAAAAAGCTTTCAGGGTTTCTCTCTCTAGGACTCTGTTCAGAGTACTTTGGCACGCTCCATTAAATTCCCCTCATTAAAAAGTTAAAAAAGAAAAGGGAGGGGGAAGGCATTGATTCTGCAGGCACCTTTCCAGAAAGTGCCATGGTGCCTGACAGTTATCTGGCTTTCCAAGAGAAGGGAAAGCACCATCTCTCAGACACCACAAACACAGCCCAAGCCAACTGTTTTGCAGTTGATGGCTCTGTGAACTGCATTGGGAATCACTTGAAACTCTCCTAACTGTTAGAGAGGCTTGACTTGTGTCAAAGCCAGTCTGGCACGTTTTGCCAAGCAACAGCAGTAGTAAATAATGAGCCCATACAGAAGATCAGAATTCTGACGCCCCATTAACATCAAGTTAAATATTTTTAAAGTGGCTAATTCTCAGTTTCATGCATGTTTGTGAAATACAAGATTTAAGGCCACTTCTTTGTTCACATACAAGGGGTTCATGCTTCCTGAAATGAAAGGAATGATGGTCCATGTGACGAGGTTCCAGGTTGGAGGCTGTGGACCCTTTCTTGCCAACTTAATGGCTACACTGGGGAGTTGGTGTGTGTGTGATAGGGTCAGGGTCTTCCCATCTTGCTGAGGTGCCAGATCCTGAGAAGTGTATACATATACGAGTTTTTCCGAGCCTCAGAAAAAATCAAGGAGTTACTGGGCTGCCTCTGATGGGCTTTAGATGGAAGTAAGAATGTGCTGGAGCCAGCTCACATCTGCTTAAGAAAGCCAATTGTTAAATTTTCAGTGTGAGTGTTTATATTTTGGAAATCCTCAAATCAGGGCCAGATTTATTGTTTTATTGATTGTCAAACTCTAAGGAAGTGATAGAGAAAATGTTAATAAGGGAGATTAAGTTTAAATTTATTTTCTAATAATAATTAATCTATATAGACCTTATTTCCATGATATAAAGAGGTGTTTGCCTCACCACAACCCCATAAGATAGGTGATGAAAGTATTATTATCTCCATTCCATAGAGGAAAGAATTGAGGTTCAGAGTCACATAGCTAGAAAATGGGTTCTACCTCTAGTCTCTAACTCCTAACATAATACTTTTTCCACAAACACAGCATGAAATATACTAATACCCTTGTTCAATGTACCTTAATTGAGATTACTTTAATAGTACAATTTGCTTATCTAGGAAAATAACTTTTTTGGATCTTAGTGTTTTTTACAATATTCATATTTGGTCAGAAGATGAATCAGTAAAATATACCTGCATTTATTATGGAATTAGCATGCTGAATTGGAATGGAGGTGAGATGCTTTAAACTCAGGCCCTTTTTCCTCTCTCCTGGAACACAGGTGCTGTTATCATCATCATCATCATCATCAGCGGCAGCAGCAGCAGCACCACCACCACCACCACCACCATCACTTGGGGATGAATTTTGAAGTGAATATTAGGGATGACAGGGAGTCAATCACAGAGAAGCAAGATTCTAATTTTGAAAAACAAGAATTCTGATCAATTCAATGACCATCTACGAGCCCAGGGGAATCAAGTAAAGAAGCACGTTGACAGAGAAGTGATGACCTGAGGCATGGAATAAGATACGTATTTTTGATCGTAACCAATGGGAGTATTTGTTTTGTTTGACTGTGCTTTTTTTCCCTAAAATTTTTGAAATTTTAGAGAGAGGGAAATTTAAGGGGAGAAAGGAAGGTGATAGTGATGCCATAAAAAAAGAAGAAATAGAAAGGAGTCTTTATTTAAGAATGCACATAA